TCGTCAGTCTTCAATGTAATATTCGTTTCGATGTTTCGACCGATTTTAGGCATCTTCTCCAGTATAACGATGGACACTAAAATGTCAGTTTTTTAGTTAAGGAATAGCAAAAGTTTACTGTTATATTCTTTCAATTTTCTAGCATTACATTAAATCTACACGAGGTGCAAATTTTTTCTTTTGACATGTACCAGATGGTTCATACTTGCACCGCTAAGGTGTCGTGTTAAAATGGCATGCAATTAAGAAGTTGTACACCTCGAAAACGGTATACTGATTTTTTAACCTGTAGTATGTTTTGTACGGTAAAGTTAATCCTTAGGTTTTAATTTCAACGAATCACGCATAGTTTACTATGATTATTAGTATACTTTAACCAGCTAAACTAATATGTACAACAACAAATTCATAACCATCTACTCATAAGGTTATCCAATTTCTATAAATCCATTAGTAATGGCTTGATATTTTGAGCCACATTCGAACAATTTTACATAAAATACAGTGATTTTGCAAGTTGTCACATAGTTTTGTACGATTCTAATTTTCAAAGAAAGATGAAGGGAAATAAGCTAATTGAATGAACTTTTCCCATTTCTCAGGTGCAAGAAAGCTGTCCATACAGGAGAAGTTTGTATATCTGTCTTCTTGTAAACGGCTAACGTGAAGCCCCACAAGCTTTCCATAATGATTGTAAGATTTTACCGGAATTTATCTTTTGGCTAGTCCCCTTGTGTAATTGGTAGGCAGACTGGGTAACTTTCCGGTTATATAAACCGTAGATTCAGAGCGTCCAGTCAGATAGAGCCTCACACCTGGCTTAGAATCGGAGTCCATCTTAGCAACCAAAGGCTCTTTATTCGGCTTAAAAAGGTATAGCCAAGTTTGATTAGTTCAGGGTCTAATTCCCGGTAGGGTTGATAAATGAAGCTCGGATCGATAAGATTTATTACCGAAATACTAATTCCGCCAAGTTCAGTGACGCAGTATATGGTTCAACCACGCAATTTACCATTTTAAATAAATCCTGGCATCCATCTTAACTACCCCGTTTCTCCGCTACTGCTCAACTGTATTTACATAGAGAACAAATAAACAAGACGTAAAATTTTGTACTTCTCTCATTTTCTAACTTAAGACCATTTAAGGTACAGGCACATGGAGCATGCAATTTGCAATACGAAACCACTTAAGCCCATGAGAATGAGAGAAAGGTCTCTTCCGTGCACCTCTCTCTCTCTCTCTCTCATGGTTTTAAGTGGTTCCGTATTGTGAATTGCGTGGTCCATGTGATTGCGGCCTTTGCGTCCAAGTCTTAGCAGAATCTCGTAAGCTTCATGTGAGTCCTATGCAAAAACACGCTTATGTGAAGCGATTACGGCAAATTGTCAAGCCTTCAAGTTCAGACATTATCGACTAATTGATTAAAGTAGTGAAAATCAGTCTCTTGAATAACTAACTTCCTGCAACCTGCATTTCCTTTACCCCATCTTCATTGTTAGATAATCTATACGCGCACACCTAGTGCCGTAGATCCAACTACTCTGGACTACCAGGTTCTTTTGGTGAATTTTCAATTGAATTGTTGTATGGCCGTTTCTTGAGCCAATTCCATAACCAAGCGTGTAATTTCGCGCGTGGGTCGCGTATCAACGTCCCAAAGGATATCGGTTGTGGAACCGATGACCCGAGCGAAAGTAAACTTGCATTTATGTACTTAGTCGGGGGAAGAAAAATACCTCGTTTATATCAATTTGCACGTTCGCGAGACAAGAGGATCCGGAGGATGGAATGGGGTTGAACTTGTGCGTACCGTAACTTCTCATCCTCATCCTTTGCCTCTCACCTCCCCTAACCCCGTGGCCAGATATTGTCACGGTCGCAGCAATTATCATCCGTGTAGGTCACAAAAACTCACACACAAAACTCGCTTCGTGGGTTGGTAGCGCATGCTCATTGCAGGCATCGTACCACGAAATTACTTTTATCTCCCCTTTTTTGCGCAACTGTGCAAGTACATACCTGCACTGACACGTAAAGTTACGCGGTATACCTATAAGTTGGCAAGAGAAACGGTGCGCAGAGAGAGAGAGAGAGATAGTGTCATGCAACCGAGGGATAATGGAAAAACGCATATAGGACCCCTTGGTTCTTTCTTTCGTTCTATTCGACTTTCTTTCTCTCTTTTCCTCTATATATGTGTATACGGGGAGATTCAAGGCTCGTTGCTCTCCCAGCTCAGCGGCAATGAGAAATCGAGAGAAGCGTGAGTAGGAAGCTGAGGGGAGCGCGCGGGGACGAGGTCGTGCCGCTCCAAAGCCGATTCTTCATGTATACGCCCAAAGCGGCGCAGTGGGGGTAGCCGGAAAGGCGGTCCTAGGCCGGGATTGGTTCGCTAGCCGGCTCGTCGGCCAATGGAGTCAGAGCCGCTCGAACCCCGCGAATGGGCATCCGACAACTGGTCGCGCTTTTTATTCAAGTATTAATGCCCCGAAGGACGGGCTGCTTTCTCTCTCCTTCTATCTTTCGTGCGACGGTGCCACCGTTCCTTTGGTTTTGCCGTTGTTCACGAGTGAGGGCACACACTCTCGTCTTGGGATCCGACGGAGTTGCACGCTTGCAAAAGAAGGCCTTGCCAGTCGATGCGAGTTTTTGTACACGTTGATATATGTATATACATATATATATATATATATATACACCGCCACCGCGGCAAAGTAGGTAAGTATAGAGCAGCCACTACCAGAACGATCGAAGCCAGGCGCCGAGCGCGAGGAAGTGGCAACTCAGCACCAGTCAGCCAGCCTGTTTTTCCGTGAGGCTTCTTCGTGTTTTGTTGTCGCGCGTGCGGTGCAAGTGTGTGTGTGTATTATATACGTGCATCGTCACGAGTGTGTACAAACAGTCGGCTAGTAGCCTGCGCGTGTCAGTGTTGGTGCGTTCATGTGCGCGCGTTACAGATCAGAGAGTTTAAGGACTGCAACGTTGCCACGTCAAGCGGCCACCGGGGAATACACCAATTTCGCATACGTAAATAGCAGTTACAACAGACCGCGAGCCGGCCTCTGCCATCTCGTTGAATCGCTTTTTGGGGATCCAGTTTACTGGAACTTACCAGATGTGATGACAACAGTGCAGGTAAATAGCCGGCCACACCGGCAGTCGACTCATTTTAGAGTTTCCAAGTTGAGCGGAAGCAAAAGGACGGCTGTGTGTGTGCCTATTATATCGACACGATCAAGCGCAAAGGTGCAGAGAAAAGAGAAACCGAGACTTGGCAACCCTGCGCTATCTCCTACATCCATCTCCGTCGTTCGTCGCACACATTTGCGTCGACACGAATAGGTACACACCAACAGTGTATGTATATATACATAGTGAAAACAGCCGTCGCCGCTACGATGTATACACTCCGGGGCCGGGGGCAGCAGAACTCGCGACGAGAATCCGCACTCACACATCTTTAGTGATAAAGTAGTGGCAGGCAACGGGTCGAGGAGCGAGAGGAGAAAAGTGTGGTGGCGCTGCTGTACAAGCGCTTGCCGCATCAGGAGAAGCAGTAGTCTGCCCCTCCCCCCTTGCTCGGTCGACCCTAAGCTTTATACCCGCTCCAAGCGGACGAGTCCAAGGGGAACGCGAGCGAGGGGCGCCCACATAAACCTTAGCCGTGAGTGCAAGGAGGACAACTGCGAGTAGTTGGCTGGTGGTGGGGATACGGCGGTAGCGGTGGCGGCGGCTACGGTGGAGCGGCAGTAGCGCGCGCGCGCCTTCAGTCGGCCTCGAACCAGAGAATGTGACTCTTGTCAGCGTGACAGCTGTTTTGGAGCAGCAGCAACCGTGCTCCGAAATTAACACACATACACACCATCCCTGCACTCCCCTTTTCCCTTCCAACCCCTGTCGTGTCATAACCTCAAAGTGCGTGCACCTTCCGTGGTTGATCTCCGTGAAGTTGTTTCTCGAGAAGGTGTTGACGTTATGCTTTGATTTCCCATAATCAGGCGTATCCGGAGGAAAGAAAAAGACGGAACGACGAGTGAGAGAGAAAGATAGAGTCACATATTGGTGGGACGGCCATGTTTGGTGTTTACGAGCCGAAGAGGATTTTCCAGTAAAGTCAGAAGGAGGCAGTGTTACCCAAGTGAGAGAGATCAAAATAATGATAATATATTATAGTGGTGTACCCCTGAGAAAAATACCAAGCTGTTGCAACTCAATTATGCGTATCAATTAGTGAGTGACAGTAAGTCACGACAGAGTTAAGTGTTTTTAAACAAGTCTGTGCTTGTACTGCACTTATCACAAGAAATATACTGCAAGGAGAAGTGTTGTGTTTTGGTGTAAGGGATCCAATGGGTTATCGAGAGCAGTCGCCTGCGAAGTTGTTTCTGTTAGCCGGTGTGCAGCAACGCGCTACTAACCCACCGGAAAAAGTCGGTTTGAAATAGCAGCCGATACCCCTTGTGCTGATTGTTCTGCATATTGTCTTGTTGTGGTGTATTTACATAATTTTGTTTGTGTAAACAAGTAGACGTCACTGGTGTTGTGATTAAAGTGTCAAGTGTCTGTTGCTTCTTCCAAGTGCAAATAGCGAGAGCAACATCTCTTTGAAAAGTGAAAGGAGCTTTTTGTCAGGCAATTGGCAAAACATACAAAGGGCAGTTTCGGCTCCGATTGTCATTTTAGAGTGGAAGTGTTTACGTACAAGCAGGAGGAGTAATAGTTACGCAGGTGTTTTGTTACTATCGTTGGCAGTTCAATAAAGTACAACTGATAAACAACAACAGCAGAAGCAGCAGCGACAACAACAACAACAATTCCATCACTATCCACCCCCAAAGTCAACCCCAAGCCGCAACGACGATTTCGCCACGACGCAGCGAGAAACGGCTGGCCTCGTCGTCGTCGACGTCGACGTCAAGCATCTACGACGACTACGACGTCGCGCAGCGCTCCTCCGAGCGGATCAAGGTGAGGCGGGCCTGCGAGGAGTCGGTCCAGCTTCTTGCGGAGCAGGCGGCCGCCGCGGCAGCAGCAGCTGCAGCTGCAGCGAACGGCCACAATAGCGATAATAGTAACATTAGTGTTGACCCCAGTAACGGTCAAGCCACTACAATTCCCGCCACCACGACCATCAACCAGATAAAGCGGCGCATCATAGCTAAGCTGTTCTCTGGTGGCAGCAAGGCAAACGGTACGTCGTCTGGTACGTCAAACGGACAGCAGCAACACCAGCAACAGGACTCAACCAGCACCATGGATCTTGGTGACCGTGTCTACGCAGCCGAGAGGATTACCAAGAAACGCAAAAAGGGGGTAAGTGCATACGTTTCTCTCCATATACAATATTCCGTCAGATCCCCTTTAACTTGGGCTTTAATCTTTTTCCGTTCGTGCGCGCGCGCTTGCATCAGCTGACTATAGACTTATTTTGCAGTGTGTACTTGCTTTAAACTAACAGTGCATGTATGTGTAAAAAAAAGTACGATTGGCTGATGATTGGCGCGTTGTAATTGGCTTTCAAATACTTGGGATAAACATAATAATCTTAACTTTTTTTATCTGCTGCTTAGCTCTGTTTTTACAATTCTATTTGCTCTCAAGTATACATTTGTGTGCATTCTTGAGATGATGGTGTGTTAAACACTACTCTTCGCTGGTCAGTGGTATTGTAAGTATATACACAGGGATCTACAATGCTGTCTTGCTCTTCTGCTCACAAGCGGCAACAAGCGAGAAAGAGAGAAATAAAGTTTGTAACTGGTACACAGTGGAGTCGCAAGGGCGGCGCCACCGTACGGGCACGTCACTCGCGAGCTTGACCAATGCGCATGCGCCATCACGCATACAATCACGGTTCGACCAGTCACGCACGAAACGCACACTCTTGCAGCCCTCCCACCTTAAGATCTGCGATGCCAGTCGGTGCTTGCGGTTTCCCACTCCTCGACACTCTTTAGGCCGTCTTGCTCGCTCGCTCGCTCTCATGAGGTAGAAAGGGGCGCGAGCGAGAGGCAAGAGCGACGCCCCTTCCTTCGTTGCCCCTCCTACAATCTTTCTCTCGCTTCTCGTTCATTCTCATCGTGCGTTGACATGCATGCCTAACTAACAACTATTCTGTACAAGTACTGCTCCTGCTGGGTGTATTATGCATGCATAAATGTAGTTACTGCTTGGAACTGGTTTTATACGTCTACAGTGAATTGTAAGGTTATATAGGTATGTATGCACCCATGTAATATCTGCCTGATGTTTTGAGATTTGTGAGCAGTTGAAACGACCGAAAGTGACTGTGGTGTGAAAAAACTTGTTACCTTCGTATACGATTAGACTGAACAACGAGTAACACATTTTTACACAAATTAATTAAATGGCTGTAAGCTATATTCTCCAGTGGATCTTATACTTGTAACATAGTAGTCGATTTATTACATACTGTACGATTATTTTACTTCATTTAGACTTAAAATGAGCCATCACTATTTACTGAAAGAGACAAGACCATAATAATGCTGAAATAATAGGTTCGTTCGAACCCCCCTTTGGTTTGGTTCCGTTCGGTTCGGTCGGTTCTGGGACCAAAAAACACAAAAAAAAACAAGTGTTCACGAGAGTTTTTTAATGTTTTTTGGTCCCTAAAACGACCAGACCGAACTGAACCAAAAGAGGGTTTAAACGAACCGATTGAATACGTCATACATATACATGGCCAATCGTGACAGCGAGAAAAATGCATTAAAACACATTCATTTCTTGTTTAAACGTTCGTTTTTTGATGCACAGACAGAGCGTTCCTGTTCTCTATGTAACATACACTCCCTACATACACACTCTCGTTGCGGCGTACTCGTTAAAGAGTACATCAACGGACGCGGTACTGTTAGCGCAGTTAACGCGAGTGGAGCTCTCTCTCGCTTCTCTTTCCTTTTTTTTGTTCGCCGTCGAGTGCAACGCACTTTTGGGCTCGTCCCCTTTTTTTTCAGGATCTGTATCGAAGGGAGTTGAAGATGGGGAAGAAGTGTATGCTTGTTTTCTTTTTTTAGAATGTAGCGTAGACGGTCTTTTATATGCACAATGTGATCGAGGCTCTTGCCCTCGTGGGCTTTCTGGCAAATGAAAATGTAGTCTGGCAGCAATGAAGCAGGGTAGAGGACACTGTGGTCTTTGCCAGAGGGTAGGCTTAAGTATTGTTGTCATATCTTTGAAATTCATGTTTGCCTGATTACACTTCGTCGTATGGATCCAAGGATTTGTATAAGCATGTTTGTGACTTTTTGTTTCACCTTAATGTTTTTTGTAATTATGGCACCCAATTTAGTATTTAAAAACATATTGTTACATTTAAAGCTATTAATTTGTAGGTATGTTACGAATGAACATGAATTATTAATGAGACCTGAGAGCTCCATATTCTAAAATAGGACGGCAAATGAACCGATTTATTACTGCAATTACTCGTAATCGAGGATATTTGCAAATTTTAGTGATAAACGACCCAAATCCATAATGAGGATTCAAACTTGAATGCCCTTAATTCAAATACTTTTTATATCACGTCGCATTAAAATTAAAATTTTCATTCGTCAGTTTATTTTTATTTACAAACTAAATATGTAGTCAAAGATAACTATTTCACGAATGTCATACTACTATATTAATTAGTAAAATTTTAATTTTAGCTATAGCACTTGTTTGATAAAATTATCATAATAGAGGGTTTTCAAAAGTAATGGAAGATTCCGTGAAAATTTTAAGATATTCCAAATGCGGGGAGTCTAACAACCTTTGCCCTACATAGTGTATCCCATAAAAATTTCCATTTCCACGCTTTCATTCAGAGATGGGAATCTTTGGCTATCTCTTTCTCATTCTCGTAATAAAAAGTAACAAGCTAACTTTGCTTTCCTTTAAAATCCATCTTATCTGCCTTCCATTTTAAGACTTTAATCTCTTAGAGGGAAAATATTAAATGAAACCGTCATAAAATCATATTTTCTTCCCGCCTCGGGTTATTCCGAACTGACTACACTCGTATGGAAATTGGACCGCATCGAAATTCAGTTCGAATCCAGTTGATGAATTACTGAATAAACCTCATAAATATGTCTATTAATTGAAATGCCCACCATCAGATGTTAAAAACTCCTAACCCATAAATCCGAAACCAATCAGCAAAATTTCCAGAAACCAGAAACGAGGTAAACACGTTGTCGTAACAAAAGCGGGTGGGGGGACACCTCCGAAAAAAAAAGGAGAGAGGACTGCCAAAGAAAAGGAAAAAGGAAAGGAAGGTCTTTATGGGTGTATAGGTTAAAGGACGGATGCTCTAGGCACTTCTCTTTCCCCCTCCTTTCTATCTCCCCTGTTTTGGCCGGCACGTAGGTATAGTATAGAGTAGTGAGTAACGGAGTAAGGTTACGTCGTGCCGCGTCGTGCGATGCCCAAGATCGCGGGGCACATATTTTCAAACGATGCCGAGACGGGAGGCCTGACTGTCTCGTGTTATGTGTCGCCTCGTCGGCGTCGTCCCTTCCTTTTTTCCGTGAGAAGAAGACGGTCAACGGCGTTCCGTGAAAAAAAAGGGATCGGAAGCGAAGTAGATTTCCCTCGGGAGTTCTGTCTCTTCTTCCTACTTTTTTTTTTTTTTCGCCGCCAGGGTCGTCGTACGTACCTACACTTACTTTTGGGCTGGCTTTTCAGATTTTCTGCCGAGAAAGTAAGAGGGACAGAAAAAGAAAATACGAGATAGCCCAGTTCCCCGAGAGAAAGAGAGAGTTGTAAATATTATTTTGTTATTGCTATTTGTATGTTTGAGTGATAGGAGAGCAATTTCCAAAATGCCATGGCTGTGCTTCGACTTGGGTGTCGCTGGTGCTTGCGGGTGGTGGGGCTCTGACGGGCGAGTGATTGATGAGTTAGGTTTGGCACCCGAAGTTTTTCGCCGCACCACGTGGCTTTACCGGGAAATCGCGTTGGAAAATAAACGAGACGTCGATCGATCGGTTGCACGGAAACCGAGTCCGTAGTATAAGTGCGCATAATAAGTGTTGTAATAAATATTTATGGCAGTTTGTTTGAGCCCGTAAACACCACCTCCTAATGGACTCGCGAAAAATGCCTAATTTTTTTCACCGTTACACGAAGGGAGCCACCGGGTAGAAAGTCATCGCGATAAAGAATCGGGAATTGCCAGCGCGGCTGGAGCAAGTACACCAGGGAGACAGTATCTTTCTCTCAACGATGATTATTACAGAGGCGCGCATTTCGAGAAGATAAGAAGAAAAAAATATACGGGACTGAATTGCGGGAAAAACTGTATCATACTTGTTGACCCTTTTTTACGGAAGTTTATACTTTTTTTTTGGTACACAATGGGCTGCGCGAGTGTAACAATCATTACGGTTGTTATTCATGAAAATTCCGGTAATTGCTTTCCGTAGGATTTCATCTCGATTCATTTATCAAACTCGATCTGATAGCTAATTCGACATGCATTGGCGCTAAAAAGCGCAATTATTTCATCAACCCCGTGCTCGAAAGGGAGCATCGGCCACACTCGCGACCTAGTTCCAAAGGTGCATCAAGCGACTGCAACCTCCCTTTTTTTGCCCTCCACTAAACTTCCGACAACGGGAGACAAAAAAAATTGCCAACGCCGGCGTTTCGTGTCGTACGCGGTTCTGGGAACTTTCATCACTCGAGCTCTGTAAAATTGACCAAAATGATGGCGATCTGTCGACCCCATCACCCCCGTGATCGCCACCGATCAAACTCCCTGCCGGGGAGAAAAGCTTGGTATCCGAGCATCGGACGCCGAACTAAGTAGCATCTATCCGCGCTTGGACTCGGGCCAACGGACGAGCCGACTCGCATATGACACAGGCGCGTCGGGGCGACGGGGTTGGTTGCATCGCTCAGACAAGTCCATCCGTACACGCACACGGAGGAGTATAGCAGCGGCCGCGGCGACGACGACTACACGCTGGCCGTCGTTTTATTGACCGTGTCGGCACGCACGCACGACGCCCTGGGCATTTGCGATTCCGTTTGCGGTTGTGACATTACCCTCTCTCTCGCAGAAACTCGCTTCGCTCAAGTGCGCGCTCGAGCGTGCAGTATATATGTATACATATACCTCCACCTTTCTTTCTCCCATTGTGTTCTCTCGGATGGTCCTTCCTTCCTTTTTTCCATTTTTTTTCAAGCTATGGAGATCGGGATATGTGGGGCGAATCGAGTCGCATGAATGGGAACGCCAGAGGTGTAGAATTCCGAGGCTCGGATGTTTCTGTGTATAGATACGTGTGTACGTGGTATACATTGGTAAAGAAGAGGAGGCAGATATTATACACACGAGCGCGAATGAGTTCGGACGTGCTATCGAATGTGACAGGATGTTTAGCGTGTGGGCAGGGAGGCTTCGTTCTCTTTTTTATTGTACCTTAAAATACTAGTGTAGGTTGTACCTGACAACAACTTGTCCGTGTGTCGTAAAGACATTTTTTCGAAAAATACCAAAATATTGAGTACCTACACGGGTGCAAACGAAAATTTAACGGCAAACTTGAAAAGTTACGCGCCGCGTTATTATTACGTATACAAACTGTTGCTGCATTGGTCGTAAGATATATGTACGAGTTACGTAAAAAAGTAGCACGCGACTTGTGGAACAAAAGTGGACGCACACTTGAAGTAATGATACCTTGTCATTTGTTTCGTCGATCACGAAAAGAACGCTGGGCTTATTTACTTGGACGACGAATTTCATAAAATACACAACAATGCGTAAGTAGAGATACAAAGGTAGAGAGAGACGCGATGGGCATGGGGGAGGATCTCGCGTTTGGTATATATTTAAAGCTTCACCACCTTGCATCGAAAAAAACAGCATCGGAGAATAACACTTATTACTTATCGTTTGCGTGCATGTATATAATATGAGTACCTGTATACCTACATACGTACATCTCTGTGTGTGCTTCATTATTGCGCAGCATCAGCTACTCTGGCGCAATTGCACAATACTACCTTATGAGCGCATACGGAGTGTATGATGCACAGTTACTATATACGTTGTGATACTTTCTTCTCTCACATTTGACGTGGTATCTATAAGTATGATGCAATCACTCGACGAAAAGCCATTCTTGCAAAAGTCACGATCCAATGAAGTGCAATTATTTCTTATCTCGATTTCCATCCAAAAACAAAAATCCGCAAAAAACTATGTGTCATTGGGATATCGCGTTTTTGCCTCTTACAAGACCATCTCATTTGCTTTTTTTATTTTTGCCCTCAAAAAATGGAGACATGAATACATCTGTTTTCACGGATCTTATACATTTTTGTTACCATTCAGTTCGGAACAAAATCACATTAGATTAATATCAATACATCGAGAGTGATACACACATTTTTCACTTGAGCTATGTAGGTTCAAAAGTTTCAACCAACTTGAAAGTGATATTAAATTAAAGGTGGGAAAATTGATGTCACAATTTCGATCGAAACAATTAAGGCCCATTTACAGTCGTACGTTTTGCTTCACGTCGTGCATGAAAAGAAATACGACAACGTGAAGCAAATACATTACTATAAACGGGCTCTTAAAATGTCACGTTACTTTTGGTCTAATCAACATTCGTAAATCAGAGCCACTGATATTCCAATAGATATCGTAACTTCATTTATAGTTGAGTAGCAACTAAAAGTGACACTTGATTCAAGAATTGTTTTTTTATTTTATTTATTATTTTTTTTTTTGTAATTCCATGCTATTCTACACCAGAGAATCGTTTATCCGACATTTTGAACCATGACAATATCCGCACGACCCCACGAATAACCACGTGCTACTCCTCGCACATGGGCACATCAAATATGCGTGTACTCCTCGTCCTTATCTTATCTTTTCCCGTTCAAAAGTCCTACGTCAATTTCACCGCACGTCATCGTTACTACAAGTTGTAAATCATTGTCGTGACAATCGGATAACACATAGTCATGTGCCCGTAAAAAAAAACAGGGGGTGAACGAAGGGAGAACTAAAAAAAAAAAAAAAAAAAACTAGTCCCAAACTGCTCAACAGCAACAGTCCATAATCACTCCATAAAAGTATCCATCCATCTAATTACAAGGCACTTACGTCATAACGAGCACCGCAAACGCGCACGCACATATATACATATAGCTTTTTAGATCGCCCGCTCGTATCTCTCTCTCGTCTCATCTTCGTCCTATGCTCATGTGTGTCCCTATGGTGTTTACAATCTGTGGTGGGTGATGGTGGTATATGTACTTATGGATGGCCTCTGCCGCGTTATGGCCAATAAAAGCCCATAGCTTGGACTCATCTCGGCGTCTCGTTCGTTTATATTACGACTATGCAGCCAAGGCCATTGTGGGCTCGTCTTCTTCGTCGTCGTGGTTGACGAGATCCAGATAAAAAGTTCGAACCACGTGAGGAGTCTGGAGCGTTGACCGGCGGATTTTTTTTTTTTTTTTTTTTTTAAGCTTCCTACACTCAACTATGAAAGTTTCTTCCTGTTTTGTTTTTTTCCTTGGCTTTTTTTATGAATTTGCATCTCGGTGCACTCACTGGCTTGTTATTACTTATCACTAATCTCTTGCAAATAACAATCTACCAGCATGAAGTGCAACTGGAGTAGAGGCACACGGTATGATCAATTCAATTGGTTGGAAATATCCAATTGAATTTTCTCTTTTTTTCGTAGTGACTATATCTTGTAGGTCTCTTGTTCGGACTGTTGATGTAAGTACGCTCGAGAGCCATTACTAATATGACATTTTGCATGTATTCGTATCTTTACGTGTACTTTTGACACATCCACATGACGATGAGTTTTGCTTTTGGTGGGTAGAATAACAAACCCTTGTTTCAACCAAATTTTAATTTCCTCCGTATGATTGTCAATACTCATGATCGTTTGTTTTGGTTACAGGGAAAAATCGAGTACTTTGTCAAATGGAAAGGATGGAGCAAAAAGTGAGTATAGAACACCTAACGAATCTTATCTCGATGAGCTTTCGATAAAACGGGAGATAAATATCGTGCTTGCGTCATTACAGATACAACACGTGGGAGCCGGAAGAAAACATTTTAGACTCGCGGTTGATCGAAATATACGAAGAGGGTCAAAGAGGCAGCGACGCCACGTCTAGGAGGCCCAGGAGGAGGGACACGCGCTATGTAAGTTCATTTCCATACCCTTTCTTTTATGTCTCTCCCTCTTTTAAAAAGCAATCGACATTCGTGACTAAAACTATTTCTTTCCAGGAGCTGGTGCTCAAAAATCTGGTGGTCGAGGAAGAGCCGGGCGGTGACGAGCGCATCGGCGAGGATAGCCAAGAGGAGTCGGCGACGGAGACGTCGGTCACGACGAACAACATCAGCTCGATCAACCTGAACGTCGACGAGGACACGGTCGCCAGCTCCCTGGACGGCCGCGAGTCCCCAATCCCGACCGCCGACCTCTCAGCCTCCAACTACAGTATCGACTCTGACAGTTCGAGCAGCAGTGTGGACATGCCGCTGCTGCCGAGGCGCGAGCCCGCTGGCACCAAACGCAAGGCCGAGGTGCTCAGCAAAGAATCCGGAAAAATCGGTGTCACCATCACGACGAGCAGCCCAAGCAGCGGCAGCGGCAGTCCACCACCCAACAAGATACCCAAGCTCCTCCCGCTCAAGGGCGCCTCCACATCACCGACTTACCACCACGTGAGTTTGGCTTGCAACTTTTTTGCGCGCACCTATAATAATAGAGATCGCTTTGGTTCAGATTTATTTTATGTTTTTCGTTTCCATTGCAGAATCACAAGGTGAACGGTAGGCGGCTGTCCTCGTCGAGCGTCAAGTCAACTCCGGAGGAGCCGTTGCCCGCAGTCCCGACGACACCGGCGGCGGCCATCATTCAAGACAAAAAGGGTTCGGATGCCCACCTCAGAGCTGACGTGCCGCATGGTCCAGCCCCGTCGCTTCCTCGTGCCCCCAGCGCTCCGCTGTCACCGCAACTGGACACAACCCCTTTGGAAATACCGCAGCCGACTCCCAGCAAAAAGAAGTCGCACCACTCGCACGAGCACAAGAGCACCGACAAGGAGAAACTGCCGCAGCACAATGGGCCCCTGGTCGTCGATGCCAACGGGCACAAGTCACTCAGCCCTATCGACTCTTACACAAACAACAACAGGTTAAACACCGGAGCTATCCTCAACGGCCACCACAACAACAACAACAACAACAACAACAGCAACAACGTCAGCAACAACAATACCATAAATAACAATAACAACAACAACAACAACAAATCGCCGAGCATCAAGATACAGCAACAGCTGCAACAACAGCAGCAGCAGCAACAGCAGCAGGCACAGCCACAAATACAACCACAAGCACAGCCGCAAGCACAGCCGCAAGCACAGCAGCAGCAGCAGCAGCAAGAGGAGGTGGTGGTCAAGCCGGCGGAGACGATTTTTGTGCCGTTGACAAGCCCGGGGACGGATTACTGGCACGCGCGCAATCCAGTGGCCGACCAGGTATTCATAACCGACGTGACGGTAAATCTTAAAACCGTGACCATCAGGGAGTGCAAGACTGAGAAGGGATTCTTTCGCGAGCGGGATCCGAAGAGCGATGTTTACCAGTAGGGCCGTGACTACTGAAGCTACCGCGGTCATCGTCGTCGCCGTCGAGTGTGTTGTGTAATATTTGAAATGTATTTTCAAAGCTTGTATATATACATATAAATTATTTTCGCACTAAAGGTAAGAAAACAAACGAAAGGAGGCACGCGGCTGTCGAGGGGTGAGATTATTTCGGGGCGTGTGCTGCGCCGTTGCGCACGTGTAGGTAGGTGTGGTAGCAAAGTTCAAAGTGACCTAAGCCCCGTGCAACAATCTCGTTTAATTGCAAAGTCGATGACGTATCATTGATGATGATTATTGCAAGGCTGTAGAAATAACAGAGACTCTTATTTTGCGTCGTTCTCTTCGTTTTCGTTTCGAAGGAAGGACTGAGAGCGAGAGGGAGAGGGTTTATTTATTTGCCGAGATAAGGCGTCGGAGGCCGAGCGTATGCGTTTAAAGGCAAGTGAGACGGGATTGTGAATCCACTAATGGCTTTCGATCGATCGATCGCTAAGGCACGATTGAAATATAAACAATTTGAACTAAAAAAACAAAAAAAAATGAATAAATAAATAAACGCTTGGTAGTTAATAGTACGCACTGATAATAACAACAATAATAATAGTAATAATTATATTAGAAAGTGAACAGTCAAAGTAATATTCTCATACAAGTTTCGTGGAATTCAAGCATCTGTTAACTATGGTAGTGTCAGTCTTGACGATATTAGATGTGTGTGTATGTGTGTGTGAGCGTCGATGGTATCGGATTACGAGTTGCGAGTATTTGGCTGAGGATTATATTTAATGGTTATATCGCTTTTTAAAAAAAGTGGGTTAAAGAAGATGTAAGATTCGATACGGATTTTTGTTGTTTGCATAAGTTCCTAAAATTAAAGAATTTTTGATGAATCTTTCTTATTCGTGTAAAGAAAAAAAAAAAAATTCAATTGTAACTACTTTTACGCTTGTAAGTAGTAGGCAGTCCAACGAACAAAAGCAAACTTAAAGATTTATCTGTCTATGTGCACAGTTAGTTCCTTTTTTCTATTAAGTAAATTAGTAAATAGACATTCACTGGCTTTTTCATTCAAACTATAAAATCAAATGCATTTGTTTGAGAAACAAAAAAAAATAGTAAATGGATACTATATGGGAAAAAAAGATGACTGTCGACGTGACAACAACACGGATCGATCTATCTTTTTTCGCAACGTGTGTCTTTGAGCATATCTCTCAGCGTTTCGATTAATTATATTTTCTTACTGAGCATAAGAATCTTTTCGCGATTAAAAGAGAAATGGATGAAAAAAAAAGAGAACAAGATTGAGATTCAAGCGAAACTTCACTGACCAAAATTTTCGTCTTACCAAGGATCTACATAGATTAATATGACTATACAATTACTTCAGTCGCAGTTGTGTTTAATGAGATGCTTATGTACATTTTGTGCATTTTTTTCGTACGTACTTTCGTATGAACCAGTAAATCCGTGATACATAGATTATTAATAAATATTACCCTCTTATCGAAACTAATCGTATATGTTGCTTATTTATTAAATCGGTTTTATCATTATTTGTAGAATCTTCACTTCTTAGTATTATAGAATTTAATGTGTAAACAAGGTGTCCCACAGTTTTATCATTTATTTTATTCTCAAGTTGCACAAGAATTTTGTAAATACAACACGAAGCGAGTCGTAATTATAACTTAAATTTATACGTACATTTAAAAAAAAATAAAATTCTGAGAATACAAGACGTGTATTTAATCCGAGTGCAAAACGTAATGAGATGTTTTTTTTTAACGTTTTATCTTGATGGGACAACTTGTATACTAAAGTAGGATTTGCTCCTCTAGAGTTCTAAACGCCTAGAATTCACGCAAGAAGTGTAATATGTGTATATTTGAAAAAGAAGAGCAAAGTATCACAGACAAGGGATATCGAATTCAGATGAATAGTGTCCTGTATAAAAATGAAATGAATACAAAATTGTAAATAGCAAGGAAAAATCTTAGTCGTGCGTTACGTGCAAGCGTATGAGTTGAAACGAATGGATGTGAAAATATTTGTGTGTTGTAGATTATCTCACATTATGTAAATAGAAACTCCAATCCCTTGTGTTGTAAATGTTCCACCGAAAATTCGGAGCGCCAAGCATTATCGAAAAATGATTGAAATAAAAAATGGGTAACATCACATAAATGAAATAACAGCAAAATAAAAACAAGATACTAATGGATTATAGGAGAGTGATCTTTCTTATAGGTTTTAACTTTTCTCGAGATCAAACTATGCTCATTACCTTTGATATTTCTTTCTGTACTTATAGACGATCGATCTACCTGTATACCATTTACCACGTATAACATGAAAAATATGAAAAAAAAATAAAACAAAAAGATGCAAACACAGGTATATAAGATATGTGAAACCCCGGTAGTACCAAATCCAACAGTAATTTTAGTTCTGTCTGGTACAGATTCCTTATATTTCAATAAAATCATTACTTGAAAATTCGTCACGTTTTATTTATCACCCTGTCCTACGACATGTCTATATATTTATATGCATATGTACAATTGTACTGATCGTTTTTCACACAGCTTGGATTTTTTTTTCTCAACTTTGATGTAACAAGGGTGAACGATACAATTTTTCACCATAAGTAGACATCCCATAAAAGCTGTTTTTCAATCAGCTTCAACTTTTTTTTCACCAAACATTGTGATTCTATGTATTTTTTGACAATCAGTGTTCAAAATTTAACTTTCCATATGTAATTAATATATGAAAGGTACTATATCTTTAAATACGTATTACGAGTCTATCGTCCCTATGATCTGCGATGAATTATAATTTTTCCTTGCAATAGAGGAAATTTTTGCATATCTTAGGGCTCCTACAAACCACTTTGCAAATCATAGGTTTTAAATTTTCGATTTCACTATCTGGTATAGCGACTTGAAAATAATGGTTTTTTTTTAATTTTAATTTTTCGTTTTTTCAAAAAACTTTTTTTTTTTTCTCTCATTTCTTTTGCACAGCTGCTAAAGAATTTAAGATACGTGCATCACTTGGACATCCAGCTGCAGCAATGATGAATTTCCTATGTCATTGTGGTCCCAGAAATAAGATTAAGATATAAAATACGAGGGGCTGGCCACGTGATTCACAATGATTTTAATCTTTTGAATCACAATAAAAAAATAAGATTCACAAACTAGTGATTAACTAGTGATTTGAATCTTGTGAATCACGTGGCTAGCCCCTCGATAAAATAAGAATCCAGTTAATTGTAATGATGTTAGTTATAAATGTTTTTATGTAGATTTACTTTTATGAAATGAACAAGTCGATTATAATGAATTTATTATTTATTAATACTTCTGCAACATAAGGGAAGCTTCACTCATTCTTCCACCTTTTGAAAATATTGTTCCACGCCTCTTTGGTAAACTTATGTTTAAAGACAATGGGTTTATACATGTTTCAGACAGTTCCAAAGCTGACTAGCTTTTCTCCATAAGTTTTATAACATAAAACTGTCTGACTATCTTTTTCCAATCACGAAGAAATAGGAGAAAAAAATAAGAAGACTAAGGGAGAATTTAGTTATGAGGAACAACGTAATTTCTTAATGTTCTTAATTTTCTTGAAAAAGAAAAAAAAACAACACTTGATTAAATTACATTAATTTAACAATAAGAATATAAACGAGGTATCTCTATGTAGTTTTTATCAAGGAAAACATTTTAATATTAGTTTTCGTGAATATGTTTGAATTAAGGCACCCATAACCATGGTTAGGTCACATAAGCGACCCATACTCCATTTCTCTTGAAACAGCCCATCAACTGTGCGCATGGGAGTTAAACAATCAGGAGCACTGAATTTTTTTTCTACCAAAGAACCATATTTTTGTTGATTAATAATGTGATAATTGCGCGAATAATCTATATTTTGCATGAGAATTGTGAGAATGGTCTGTTATTGTTGAGAGAAATTTTTAAAGAATCTAACAATTATCCGTGCAACGCTTGAAGTTGAGAAAAAATCCTTTAAAGCGAAAGTTGTTAATTGCATTTCTTAAAATTAAAAAGTTAACTTACTAATAGTTCATTTTTTTCAGATTTAAATCATTATTTGATGATATTTCCACTCTTTGTTGGCATTATACACGATATGCCTCTTAGCTACGTAAGTATTTATAGTCAACGTCGAAACTTATAAAAACTTGACAAAAATGACTATTTTCATCATTATTATGTTTCTAAAATCATGGTTTAAGGAATTTATCGTTTAAGCTTTCAAATTGAAAAAAAAACTAAAGACATTTACTCCTTCGATAATTGATTTATTTTGTTGTCAGCCTACCAGTACATAAGCAAACTATTTGTTAAGAGTATTAGTAGTAGTAATTAGTGCAATTATTACGATAGCTAAAATTTTTCGCAGGAGGAGAATAAATTCTCGATGGGAGCAACACAACTGACTAGTAATAAAGAGAGTGCGAGAATAAGGAATGCACAAATGAGCAAAAAAACTAGCTGTCGTTAGAAAACTATTAAACATTGCTATGATATCGTAATCATTGGATAAAAAATAATTATTTCATATTGTTTGTAATAAGGATTGAGATCATCAATAATAAAGCCTTTTTTTATTTGAGAAGAGTTAATTATTTCAAGCGTAGTTTCAAATTAATACTGAATTCCCCTACTGTTACAGGATATTCTTAAAACCAGGTAAAACAGCGTTGATACGTTTCTTGTCGGTGATGCAGTTTCTTTTTTTTTTTTTTTTCAATTCGTAACAAAATAAATTCAGTATTTAAATAACACTGAAAATTATTCGAATTGGTTCGCCAATAAACTATAGTAATGGTGATGTATAAATTAACAAAATTAGTTTTACACACACACAAAATGCATTTTGAATAAATTTCCAACATGATAAAAATAATAATTTACTTACTGTTATTTCACGAGCGTAAAACTCCTTTTATTACCTTACATTTCACGCATATATTGTGAAGTGATTAAAATCAAGACTTCATTCTAGTGCTGCTAGATTTCCAAGCCCTCCTCTCTACTTTCGACCCTCATAAATGGACAAAATAATACTCGGGATTTCCTTAAGATTTAATCTACGTATTTATGTTTAAGTAATTCCCGGCGCTGCGTACTGTTTCTTCGTACGACAAGCTTAGGTCTGAATCTCAATTGCTTTTGGTGACGAGTCTCCCATTTTGCTGACTAAACAATGCCAGTTGCCAGTACTATTTTTCAAAGAATAAATTATTCATCTAAAATTTCACCTTTTCCAACAATTGTTTTAAGATTTTGAAAAACAGCTTATTCAATGTAGTTTTCTTATAAAAATCAAATTGGTTTTTTTTTTAATACTATTAGTCAGAGATTTTTTATTTAGCTTGACTACACTTTAGCGCTTTTTTGACTGATGACAATGTAAAAATTAAAAGGTGCACACCAGTTAAAGTGGTTAATTTTAGTTAATTTATTTAATGCTTAGGCTGTTGAAATTTTTTTATTTGTGTGTTTTATTATTAAACTTGAAATAAAATTACGGTTACTTGTCAGCAAGCGTTACTGTTTTCAATGATGAGAGAAGAAAATTTTACTCTGTACTTTGATAATTTTTAAGTTCCAACTGTTGAGTTTTCGAATATGATTTATTATTATAGTATAGGAGTATTGCAGTTGTAGGAAGTGAGGCTGCAAAATTGTACCTCGGGGACGCATATACATATATAAACTGCGGCTCGTCGGATATTACAACCGTGAAAACTTGCGTTAGTCATCTTGTTTGAGAGTTTGGAAAGCGAGAGACAACGAAAAGGAAAAACAGAATTTATTTTTACACGTGTACGCTTCAAAATAACAGTAGATCCTAAGTTTTGGGGATTGCGATGCCAATATTAGATTTAATATAAATGATGCAATGACGATCTTATTAACGTTAATTTAATGTTTTGTACCTAAAAATTTTTTTACTTGCGCACCGTTCATGTACTCTGTAATTTATTTATAAAAACTATTAATTAGACCTACCTATAGTAACCTAAAAAATTATATTACTTGGCCTATACTTTAGCTAATGATTGTTTGTTTGATAAGGCAAGTGGTTACGTAAAAAAATTAAATTTACAAACATTCATACTTGAATTACAAAATTTAATATGTAAAATGTAAGTCTGCAATGATTTAAAATTTTATAATCTATGTTAAGATAGTTTTGAAATCAAAGTATGTTGTAATGTTGGCCTGTTTACTTTCATTTTGATTAAACGTATACAATGTTATAAGTATTAAAATTCATATGATTAAAAATTGAATAGTTATATACATTCTTAAAACTACAACCAAAAAACAGGTACAATGAAAAAATAAAAATTCAGTTATTCGACATTATTATTATTCGATTTGTTGGAGAAGAAACATGGTTAATTGAAATTTATAATTTCCTTCATTAATGCCAGATGCAGTTTCACTCAAGGTCTCCAAGGCTCCGGCAATGAAAAATGAAAGTACAAGTACATCATAAAAAAAGCGGTCACAAAAGTACGTTCCTCTCAATAATTAACATATATATACATTTTTTGTTCGCCCCACCGCTTGTTACCCGATACGATCCCATACCATCCAATGCATTGAATTACATTTGTGTACCTGTGGGCAAGTAACGCAAATAACCGGTTATATTCCACTCGAATAGCAATGCAATGCGCTAAAAGAGGAGAAGGAAGAAAGAAGAAAGGACCTATGCGGAGAGTACAGAAGCCCGGTCACGACATCTACATAAAAACGCAAAAGAGTGCACTGCACAAAAATATACGTACGAATGCACGAAAGCGCGCACACAACAAGTTGCAAAGCAGACGGTTTCTGTTTCACTCACTTAAGTACAGCTTATAATTGTTACATCGTTACGTGGGAAAGAGATTTGTTAATATATATACACACATATATATATATATATATATATATATATATATATAGATTTATGGGATGTACGNATATATAAACTTAATACATATCTATAGTTTTTAAGGTCGATTTTCAGGTAAAAGATAAATTGTACACTTGCCGCAAACAGCACAAACATCGTTAACTTTTTATTTTATATCCCTAAGATTAGTTGCGGCTGGTTTATAATTGACTAAATGGCTCTAGAGCCTAAACTGCCTAAAGCTCTCCTTCAGAATTTCAGAAGCAATTTTTGGCCAAAAAAGTTTCGACCGCTAGATGGCGCTGATCCAAATAATTATTACTACTTATAGTAGAGCCATGTAATCGATTATAAACCAGCCGCAACTAATCTTATAGACAGAAGATAAAAAGTTAACATTTTCTGTAATGTTTGCGGCAAGTGTACAATTTATCTTTTACCTAAAAATCGACCTCCAAAAGTAGAGATTCTTCTTATATGGTTTCATAATAAAATCGACCATATGACACGACTTAGTAGTGGTTACTTTAATAATTACTTCACGTATATCTTACACCGTGATCTTTTTACCAAAATGATAAAGTCCAAAGTAAATATATGTAACAATCATAAGCTGTACTTAAGCAAATGAAATAGAAACTGTCTGCTTTGCAACTTGTTGTGTGCGCGCTTCATTCGTGCACTCGTACATATTTTTGTGTACTCATGCATACTTGTTCTTGTGCGTGCTTATGCGTTTTTATACAGATGTCGTGACCGAGCTTCCGTAAATAGTAGGAGAGAGGCAACACAAAAGAGCAGTAGCAATGCGTGCAGTACTGGCAGTATAGGTAGCATTGCGTCCAGAGCTCCAGAGCGTTCTGCTCGTGCGTTTCGGAATCTCTGGTTTCGGAGCAATAACAATACACCGATTATACACTCACGAGACGCCCAGTTCTTATTTACTTTGATGTACTAATTTATTAATGCACCTAAAAGTTCTGTGCTATACGTGCTATACATGCTACGCAGTTTGAGCAACATCGAGGGGTGAGATTTTGTTAAACTAGTGCATAAGGCTGATTGGGGCGTCGACGGCGACGATATAGAAAGTGCACTGGGTTCTATCGGGGAATTATGGTGAGAAAGGATGGGGAGCTCGGGGGCATCGACGACGAGAGCCTCGCACGAGTCAAGCTCATCGCCGAGAAGAAGAGGCAATTGGAAAGGACGGCTGATCAGGTAAGTGTTGTTTTCTCCCTCGATAAGTGGATGAAACGGTGAAATTTGTGCGTGCACTTATACCTGTGTGGTGAACAACTCTTTCGTCACTATAGCTGTACTTTCTAATGCAGTGGAATTTCGTAACTTTTGTCTTTTTGTCGATCTTGTTAAACGAGTTTCGATGTTGAACTTTGGATAATCGATACATTTTTTCTTAAATACTAAAATATTGATTGATTCTGCGAACTTCTTTGTATTGGAGGATATACATTTTTATTTTTACTTTCACTAAAATAAAAATAAAAAAGATGTCTCTAAAGAAATTTACGATAACTCATCGATAATGTCTCTAATATCAGGGTAGTAATGAATTTTTTAGTTGACAACAATTCTTGAGCTGATTAACAATAGATAAGTCGTTTCACTGTCTTAATGGAGGTATTTCGCAAAAGGTTATATCTCTCGGTATGATCGTATTTTCTTCTACAGTGAATAACCGTTTAACTGACAATTAAAAACGCTCGTTATAATACAGCAACAAATTTTCTTTTTCTTTTTTTCATCAATAAATACCTGTATGAAATTCATTTGAAAAAACAGTGTTTACTTTTATCATTCGTCTTTCTCGTTTTATTTCTCATCAAACGATTGTATTGCGCGGCGAAAAAGTTTTAACGTTCTTCATTCATATGATCCAGGTATTGTCAGTACCGTAACAATAACAAAGCTTCGACGAAAAAAACCCTGAAACGACCCTTCCGATGATGCTATTCCAAGAAACACCTTCGATTCCTCATTCAGGGCCGCGCCTATTAATACGCCACCGTCACGGCACTGTAGCTTGTTATTTGTGTCCGACAATAATTCTCTTGCGTGTTTGCAGGTACACCAGGAGATAAGCTCATGCTTCGAGCGCCTGTTCGACAAACTGCGGGCCCGAGAGCGGCAGCTTCAGCGCCAGGTCGAGGCCGTCCATCGCCAGCAGTTGGCGCTCGTCCAGTCCAACTCTGAGCTCCTGCCGGCCAACGCCAGCCTCGGAATCGATCTCAACACCGAGGCTGAGCTCCTCGCTGTCATCCAGGACTTTGGCCGCGTTGACCTATCCAACAGCATGGCCCTCAAGGACTTTGAGCCCTACAGAGCCGAGGAGTACCAGGAGGACGTGGTCAGCTTCGACAAGAGCCTCAAAAGCGAAACCGAAGAGTTGGACGCCTTGGTGCGCAGTAAGCGCGACAACAACGCTGACAAGCCTGTCGTCATTAACTTCAGCTGCCCTTCTTGCGACGTTAGCGTTGAGACCGCCGACAAAGACGCCGCGACAGCAGTTGCTCTCGCGCCTGGTAATTTGATCTTGCTCGTAAATTGAATGACCGGCTCGGCACTCTTGGGTGCCAGAGTCCACTTGATTTCGTTTTATCGTCATTACTTCGTTTTTACCAGCCGTAGCTTCGACGTCGAGACAATTGGACGAGAGCCAAGGAGCTGCAGCTGCGAATATGAGCGGCAACTACTCGCCCTTTGCGGAAAACGACTCTGACTCGGACGAGTCCTCGGTGGAGGAGGTCGACAGCCCCGTCCGTGGCGAACACTCCTCCAGTTTCTTCGTGGGTGAAGATGAGCACAAGACCATTGAACATTCCAGTCCTGGTGACGGTGGCGTTGTTACGAGTCCGATCGAGGACAACGCCTGCGGCGTCGCCGAGGTACAAGACAAGTCGAAGGAGGGGCTGGCGGATGAACACCCAATACAGATCCAGCAGTGGTTGCGGCAGATCCTGGCCGAGACCGAGACCGAGCCGATCGTCAACGAGACCGGCCGGCCCATTGTGGTTGGCCAGTTTCCCAAATTGCCGAGTAACTCTAGACTCTACCACGAATTTCCCGTTGAAACGTAAAAAGGCTGAACATTGTTGCGTATTGTTGCCGATACCCGAAAAAAATCTGGACGAACAGAGAGAACGTAAGACCGACACGATTAATCGAGGAATTGCTCAAGAGTTGTCGATGTACCTTATAGCAGTAATTGTAGTCGCGTAGGTTATGCCACTGTTGAAAAATAAAAGGAGAATGGACGTTATCATTCGCATCTTTGCTCTACTTAATAGAGAAGAAAAATCAAGTCCTACACGGGGCCAAATTCCATTGATGATATATCTACATACATGTACGTGGAATATGAATCGACAAGTCTGATTTTCCATTTGTGTATTTCTATCTGTAATCTTTTCTCAAATAATCATCTTACTCCGCGTCGTTGTACTTCTCAATGATAATTTATTATTCATTTTTAATGTTAAGGTGTCTCGATCGAAAGAATTTGTATTTAATAATTTGTACTTAAATGTGTGTCGCATCGCCGTATTTACAAATTATACACGTAGCTTGGATTCAAAGCCAGTGTCATTGTTAAGATCTTCATCTCGCATTTCATTAATTGCGTTACTTATTACATAGTTATGTAAAACTTTGTTGTGAATTGAATAAATAAATAAAGTTAAGAAGAAAAGAAAAAAAAACATATTAAAACAACACTGATTTTTATTGATTGAAATATATATTTTAATTCTCTTTACCGTGTAATACATCAAGAATCATCGAGCTCGCTATGCTTTTGTTGATAAAGTTTTTTCCTCTTGACATTGTCATGTTTGAGCCTCACTAAACGCGTACGCCTTGCATACGCTGTTTACAAATACATTAATAAATCCGAACAATATACGCTCGCCGAAGAAAAATAGGTATGTATGGACATTTGTACTATAGAAATAGCATTTTTTGTGTTGTATAAAAGATAATGGTGAAAAGCTGAACAAGTAAAGATAGGGACAAGATATCTTGAATATGGCACAAAAATGCTTTAAAATCATTTTTTTCTAAAACACTGGAAAGTCGTGGTAACGTTGTAAATTTCTGTGTAGAAAAAAATCATTCATTCACATGTCTCTTTTGATTTCACATTTTTCTATTAAAATATTTAAAAATTTATAGAAGTACCAAGTCAGTTAGTCGTTGAGTATTTGAACACATTTATCTAGTTGAAAAGGAGATGAATATACTAAGCTTACAAAGATGTTTGGGACTAAAGTCCATGTTGTTGATCACTTAAGAGTGAAAAATTATCTTTTAAAACTCAAGAATACTATATAGTTTCGTACTTTAATAATCAATAGTTTAGTAACATTGTATAGCTGTCATTATAATGCATTTTTTTTGTAGCTTTGCATACATTTTATATAACAAATCATTCATTCTTGACTTACTTTAAATAACAGCCATACCTAATGTACGTTTTCAATTCCATATTAGTATCATAAGAGATAACTATGTTTATTTGTCAAATAAAAAGAAATTTGTAGTGCATTAAAACTTGGTCGATTGAAAACTTTACGTTGAGTCAAACAAACTATAGTTTTACTCGTGCCAAAAATACATAAAAATATTAACAATAACATTGCTCTTTGGTATGGAAAAAAAAAGAAATACCATTATTTAAATTTTACTGAGGAAAATCACTTGGTTAGTTTTTACTAAAATCTTCCATTTCAACCAAATTACTTGAAACAATTAACTTTTTTTTTTCTCTTTCTTTAGTTGCAAATAACAGTACTTTTGTTCATGAAATCATACAATATGATAAATATTTACAGTTAGTTTGAGGTAATTAAAAACTACTCAACTTATAACTTATTTGAAGTGCTATCTAAAGTCAAAAGAGGAACTGTTGTACAGATTTAGCTGCACATTGAAACTAGAATATAGTTTGGGTCATAAGTATAGCGGTACAATGTGACGGTAATTCGCGCTAGTTCTCAAGTTATCGAGACTCTTACTAATCCATCATTTAAGCGAGACTTGATAGAAGATCCAGTCTTCAAAGAATGATGGTATAAATGCACTATCTTTGGTAAACTTGACAGGAGCGCAAAGCTGATCCAAAACATCCTCAAACATTTTTAGTGACTCTGGACATGATGCTCCATTTCCCTGAACAACAAAAAGAATACCTCAATGTATACCAAGTAATAGTTTTTTTTCAGCCACGAAATAATATTTAAAGTATCTCTCAATTACATGAGTCATATATTTGCCATTAGGTTTCAGCACTTTCATGGAAGCATTAAGAATTTCTCTAACAAAGTCCCAAGCATCTCCTTGAGGGGTTGTACTTATTGGAATGTCGGTGAGATCGCCGAAAACATAATCGAATTTACGTCCTTCTTCTATCATATTGTTTAAAGTCTTAACACAGTCATCAACAATTATCTAAAAAAAAAAAGAATTATACACCTGGTAAACAAACTGCTTACTCTATTTTAACCAAAAATTTTTTATGCAACGGTCACCTCGTATTTAGCGGTCTTTCTTTTGTCCAAACAATCTCCGCAGACACTTCTCATGTATTTACTACAAGCGTCCATTACGACGATGTCGATCTGTAACATTTAAGCATGCTATGATTATTGATTGGCTTTAAAAAAAAAAAGTAATTCATGAAAATTTTTTTATCACACCTCGAGCATGGTAATGTGTTTCGGATTTTCCTTGAGCAATTCATACAGAAGGCCACCATCACCACCTCCCAAGATAACAATCTCTTTACCCTCATAACATTCTTTGCCTCGCTGCATGAGAGTTTCGGTATAAATAAGATCTGCTTCTGACATGTCTAAGAATAAAGTGGTTAATTAATAAGAGAGTGTTGGAATTTATAGTAAAAAAAAAAAACAATTGTAATACTCACTTTGTAACTCATCGAGAATCAGCATATTACCTAGAGACTTTGAGTGTACAATTTGCACTTTCTGGAAGGGCGATCGTGTTTCAAAGACCAGTTTGTCAATGTCATACTCGAGCAATCTCTCATCTTCAATAAATTAAGTTAAAGTCAAACTACTTCGAAAAATTGTCTTTTGAGAAATGTTCCTCAACACATACTTGAAAGTTCATTTAGTATTTTCATCATGCCATAAATATATGCAATTAATATTTTTAAAAAATGTATATATATTTATGAAGTTTGAAGTGTAAACAGCTATGTACATGTAAGATGATGATTAATATTGATCGTGGATATCATTCGAAGTAAATACATGGCTCAAAAATTATAAATTTCAAGCGATGGACTGATCATTTGAATGAAAAGTTTGGTTACATCGTTGGTCATGCAATAAAAGTAATAGGTTTAATGCAAAATATGAATATATGAATATCGACTAGATAGCATATCACTATAAAGGTGGACGAGATGCTGAAAAGATAGAGAAAGAGAGGCAGGCACTAGTCAATAGTTCTAATTTTCTTAAACTAAGGACCTTAACTGTTATGCGCATACATGGCAGCAACACTATGCGATTATATCATCCACCTTTCCCCAATAACATAACGGAGCTGTGTTGAAAGCAATTAATCCAATGTTAAGAACGTAGTACTCAGTATTGTCAAGCAAAGTCAAATTTTTTGTCAGTCCAAGATAAAAAAAAATAACATGATTTCTCTTTTTACTATTATGATATTCGATGTAACCTTTTTACAAAACTGCATGCATAAGTATATGGTTATTATTATAACCAATAAAAACCCCCAAAAAATTTTCATTATCTTAAGGTTTTAATGAATTTTTTTTTAAATTTTTGTATGTATTGAATAAAAATTTTATTTTTTTTAAATTATTGTCAATAATACTCTAATCTCAAGATATGACTAAATACATGTGTACATTTAAATTCATATAAATACACGCATATGTACAAGTACGAGCTATTTATATTACATCGAAGTAGTGTTATAAAATTGTCACTTAATGAACTGTGTCCCAGTGATTTAGAAAAAAACCCTTGTTAAAAAGTTTCATCCAGTGACAAGCTAAAGGGATTTCAATTTCAAAGCATACTTATATCGAAGCCCAAGAAAAAGATATTTATAAAAAGGTACAAGTAGTAGGGTTATTTTACAGATAGGGGGTCTTGTAAGTAATATGTACAATACAAAAAGAAATGTGTGATGTACTTTGCCGCGTTGCATCATGTGCTCCTTTAATTTAAACTTTGTAAAATTATATACTTTGTGTTATCGAGCTATCACATATCATAAAGTCCGCGCGAGCAGTTTGTGCTACTTTGCCGCAATAAAAAAAAAAAAATTTGAGCTTGCATTTTAATTTTCCAAGCATGTATAATTGCATGAAATCTAGATATACTATTGAGATTTAACGTTTTTCCATTGCACGAGTAAAAAACTTCTTACTTTTGACAATGTATCGTTGGTACATCTCGCGTTTACTATCGTAAGATTACGTGTAACGCTCCGTTTGCGTGATTTCAGACGCAGTTATCGCTGGCCGATTCGACCCCGCCGTGAGACCGAATCCAGGTCAAGCAAGCGTCTACCATGACTTCGGGGTTGTTAACTGAGGATCAACGACCCGCGCGTGTGTGACGTCGGTCGGTAAGGCGGTAGTTTTGCGGAAGGGATGATTTTGATACATGGTGGTACAGGGGTGCAAGCGTCGGTAGGTAATGCAGGGGGGATGAAGCGACCGGTCGGTAACCAACCCCCTGTACGTACAGTAAAAAAGGGGCTGATAAGGTGGTGCGTGGCTGTTGGCGCGATGGAGTGGAACTTGGCGACCTTGCAGGTAGAGGTCGGTGAGAGTTTGATTTTCGCGCTTTTTTTGCTATACGACAAATTCAAGGTGATGTAAAGTTTACTTTTTCCGGTTCGTAAAATTGAGTGAATAAAATTATTGACCATTACCGGTGATGAGAGATGATTGACACCCACGGTGTGTTACATAGTGTTTACATATTGAAATCAAATGTACGTTTTGTGATATTTTTTTAAATTTCAAGTTGAAATTAATAAATAAATAAAGCAAATATTCATTTTAAGCTTACTCTTAGACACGTGGTACAAATGACAAGGTAAATTTTTAACTACATAGATAAAGAAACGTATGATTGATATTGTACTCGCATTGTCAGGTTATTGAAATAAGCTTTTAATGTATTTGTAGTTTAAAAAATCAAAGTATTGTCGTGGATCAAGAAAAATTCGTTAAGAGACAAAATGTTTCCTATTCAGGTAAAATTTTTTGTACAGCACGTGTTACTTGAACCATTCAGCAATCACGGAAAATAAATGAAATTGTTACATAAAAAGGTGCCCAAAAAAAATTTTGCCAAATCACGTGTAAAAACACATCGTTGTGTAATATATAAAAAAAAAAAACTTTGCGTACATCGTTTGTCAAGAGAACATTGTGGTAACCACTCGTGCGAATGTGGTTAGCGTACCCACTGGGACGCACGAGACGAAAAAAAAAAAAAAAATCCAGACAAAATCGAAAGCTCGTGCTCACCAATAGACACTGGGCACAAGATCGGATGGCATGCGCACACACACACACACATGAACACACGAGAGCAAACATATCCCCGTATGCACGCAGTTCTATTTGCGGTTGACGTTTGTCAGAGCCATTGTCAGGGCTGTATGTGGCGAGGCGCGACGTTACATACGTATATACGCCAAAATTACCAACGAGCAGAGAGCAAGAGGGCACATAATCGACGACACGCTAATTAGAGTCCCTCCCTGTAATTCGTTCGTATACGCAAATTCTCCCTCGTCCGCTTAGTCACTCGCGAAAACGCGACAATCGTAATTGCAACAAACAACAACAGCCGCGTTTCGCTTTGAATACAAATAATGCGCGCAACTAGCGAGCGAGCGAGTAATGCGTCAGCAGCAGACCGGCACAGAGAACAACTCGGCAAACGTTTGCGGTTCGGGTAATCTTGTAGATAAACTGAAAATCGACACGTGTACAAATATCAATACGTTGGAAATGTTTGGAAAGTTATGGATATAAATACATGCATGTGTATATACGTGTGCGAATATATAAATATAAATGGGATATCGTTTCGAGTCCGCCACTCGCTCTGTTTGTCGAAAAAAACAATGTTTGTGCACGTCTTGCTGCTGGATAGCGAAATGCTGTACTCCACTTTTTCGATGACTCCATTGTCCGGTAATCATTTGGAACTTTTACGCGATGGATCGAACATTCGTATCCAGATTCGAGCTTTAATTTGCAATGGGCACGCGACGATTGAGCGAATTCACTTGGATGATGATTCACGATGAGAAAAAAGAAAAAATTAATAATAATAAAACAGAGTTGTTTCCTCGATCCAACAAATAATAAAAGTTGGTAATTTTACTGAAACGTATCAGGCGTTTGTTTATTATTTTTATGTCACGGTAACTTTCCTGATGATGTTCTCCCCGAAATTGTACTTGAATGAACTTTCAGAATGACTTTCTTTGGCAAATTAAGCGAAAGTGCACTTTTAGGGGGGCAATAACATTACGCGCGAGAGAATGTAATCGTGGCGTGCGAAACGGCTCTCTGTAGCGCTTTAAAGTAGTTCACGAGACATTGAGTGCGGGCAAAAAAAAGGATCATAAAAAAAAAAAAAAGACAAGTGGAGGAGGAAGCCCTTGAAATACATGCGGGAATATTTGCGTTTTTTTTTTTTTTTTT